AGCTGCACCAGGCCTAACACGAACGAAGAAAGCAACATATAAATGGTTCGGATGAGAGGCACCGATAATCCTAGAACGAACAACCAGGGCCAACATATAGAAAAAACATGACACAGATGGAGATCAACTAAACAACGAGTTATTTAATCTGTTGGTGGCTGCCGGGTGCTTCAAAAAAAATCTTGCCACAACCCAGGAGGCTTTTTAGTTGCGCTGTAGGGCAGACTCAGTAGCAAACGTGATATAAGACCCGCTTTGTTTCAGCCTTTAACGCAACGGCCAAAAGCTGGGGATATAAACGGGCGAAGAGATCTCTGATTCCCTGGTTACGTGCACGAAGCTATCCAACAACCTCAAAATTTGCTTTTTTGGCATCATAAAGATCGAAATTCTATAGGAGGGATGCCTCCGCCAACAAATGCTAAGACCGCATTGAAGTGGCCGAAAAGATTGCCTGGAACACATGCATTAGGTTGCGCTATCTGTCGAGGGCCTCAAGATGTGGTGTGACCTTCTGAGACAGGTGTTTGGTAACGAAGCGAGACAACCACCTACATTCTGTTATAACAATCATAGATCAGAGATGCCGTAACAGGTCGACAAAATACTGTAACAAGTGAGCAACAGCATTAACAGTAACAGCATTGTTTAAAAAGTTAACGGCAAAATTAACTGTGAGCGGTCGTAACTTGCCGTAGAAGGCTCTTAAAATAGCGCAGAGACTATCTGTTAGACAAATTTAATGACAGGGATCGTCAAGTCACAGTAAGATCGCCGTTTGCTTCTTTGCATGTTAAGCGTACGCATTAGCTCACTTCTGAGTCATGTTCGAGAGTATCGCCCTCAGGCATGCTCCTTTCACACAAATGAGTCAGGGAGGGTGTGTAGGCGCAACCGAGTGATCTAAACCATGTCACGTTCTTTTTTTTTTACTTAGAACGCAACCAGATGGATAGCGATTAATCACTGTCACACGAGGTTGGTGCAGCTGTGACTTGTGCGAGAACTTGTCAATAGCGAGAAAGGCCTCTGCTGTTACGCAGGGCCCTTAAATGCGTGCATGCGCGCCGTTTCAGGAAAAGACGTCATGAGGTTCACGTTACGAGGCAGCAAATGCAGCCGTCTGGCCCTCCGTTCTGAGTAGGAGGACAGAGTTATCCCGTCAATGACAACCCTAAAAGTGAAGAAGGGTAAGCGTTTCGCAAAACTGTCAAGGGGCGCATTTCGCTTGGTTATGAAGCGCGGAATTCGAACTGAATCGGCCGGACTCTCGCTTCCCACCCCAATGCATCGGTGACTTGCCCGAGTCGATAAAATTCGATTGGGAACAGCAGTAACTGACACAATTTGTCTCTAACGTGTGCCAGACAGGTGTGCGCACGCACACGTACCTGAAGAGAGGCCAACCCGAAAGTCATATTAAGCGGGGACCTGGTGGTTGGCCAACGTAAACAATAGATTATCGACACATGGTTGTGCTGTATTCAGAG